CTTTGTAAAAAAAATTTAATATATAAAAAATGAATTCTACTATATTGATTAATTTTTTTATTTTTATAATTATTTTCATTTCAAACTAATAAGATATTTATAAATTTTACTTATGTTATTGCTTATGTTATTAAAATTATTATATTATATAATAAATATATAAAATAAAAAAATATTTTAATACTTATAGGAAGCTTTAAAATATGCCATCTATAGTACAGATCAGGTAATAGAATAAATATGCCATGTTCTTATCTATATAAATTTCATTTGTTTAAGAAGGTAGCAGACATGTTTTCTCAACAGCTCGGTCTTTTCCGGTTATCCTGTAGCGTGTATCAGGTAATGAAATTTTGAATGGGGAAGATTCTTTGTCAAATCCAAAATAATCTAATAATGTAGTAAATATTACGATATACTATTTATAATATTTAATATTATATACCATGTTTGTATAAAGCTAAGTATTATTTTTAGAAATTGATAATATTAATTGTGATTAAGTATAACCTTGTCTTTCAGTTTTTAAAAATATTTGTTTTCAATTATAAATATATTTTAAATTGTTTAGTGTCAATTTTTTGATATTATATTAATTTATAATAAAGTATATATATATATATATTATAATTATATATTAATAATATAAATAATGTAAAATATAAACTTCAATATTAAGTTTAATGATAATTACATTTCACTAATTTATATTTAAATTAATTGTACATAATTTTTTAATTTTATCTTTTATATTTATTTTATATTTATTTTGTCTAATATTATGTTGAAATTAAATATTTCATTAAATATTACATTAAATATTACATTAAATATTTCACATATTTTAAGAATAATTCTAATATGTTTTCGTATAAAAATAATTCAAATTAACAATTATATTAATTGTTATTTTACAATTATTCGAAAATTTAAATCTAAATCATCGTATTATTATTATATTTATACGTTATAGGATGAAACAAATTGTAACAAATCAAACTGTGAAAATACCTGAGGGACTAACTGTTACTGTCAAGTCCCGTTTGGTTACTGTTAAGGGACCAAGGGGTGTTCTTAAACGTTCTTTTAAGCATCTTGCACTTGATATTCGTGTAAGTAAAAGAAGAATTTAATTTTATTTAATATAAAGCCATATAATTTATTTAATACATAACCATATAATTTATATATTTATAATTTTATAAAAATAAAAATATTTGATGATATTTGGATTCCCCATCATTTTTTTAATAAATGATAAATCCTTATCTGATTATCATTATATGCTAAATAAATTCTAATATTATTTAGTATAGTTTTTAATTATGTACATTTTTTTTTTATAGATGGTAAGTCCAAGATTATTAAAAGTTGAGAAATGGTTTGGAACAAAAAAAGAATTGGCAGCTGTTCGCACAGTTTGTTCCCATATTGAAAATATGTTAAAAGGAGTGACTAAAGGATATCAATATAAAATGCGAGCAGTATATGCTCATTTT